CCTTTCTTGTGCCATGGGAATAGCGTGCTCTCCGCTCTAGCTTCTAATTAGAGTTAAAGCATTAGGTCTTATGTTGAGGTCCTTGATCCATTTGGAGTTGTATTTTGTTCAGGATGAGAGATAAAGGTCAAGTTTCATTCTCCTACATGAAGCTACCAAGTTTGACCAGCACCATTGTTTAAGATGCTGTCATTTCTCCAACTTGTACTACTGGGTTCTTTGTCAAAAATCAGAGGGCTGAAGAAGTGTGGGCTCTTTGTGGGTCCTCAATTCTATTCCACTGTTCAGTGAGTGTTCTTACATGAATACCATACTGTTTTTATTCTTATATCTCTGGAATAACTTGAAATCTAGGGCACTGATAGCCCCAGCACTTTTGTTATTGTTGTTGAGGATTATTTTGGCTATACTGGGTCTTTTGTGTTCATACATCGGATGTATGTTGTTACTGTTTTCTTTTTCTAATTCCTAGGAAAATTTGAATTGAAATTTTGGTGGGAATTGTGTTGAATCTGTAGATTGCTTTTAGTAGGATGGATATTTCCACAATGTTGATCCTAACAATCCATGAGAATGGGAGATCTTTCCATCTTCTGATATTTTCTTTGATTTTTTTTTTGTCAGCATCTTAAAGATTTTAGTACACTTTTTTACGAAGAGCTGTTTATCTTTAGTCATGAGATATGTTTCTTTTTTCAAATGTTGATTTATTTATTTTTATTTCATGTGCATTGGTGGTTTGCCTGCTTTAATGTCTGAGAGTGTTAGACCCTCTGGAAATAAAGTTACAGACAGTTGTGAGCTGCCATGTGGGTGCTGGGACTTGAATCCCAGTCGTCTGGACGAGCAGCTAGTGCTGCTAACTGCTGAGCCATCTTTCCAGCCCCAAGGTATGTTTCTGGAAGACAGAAAAAAAAAGAAAATCTAAAAACAAACAAACAGCAGCTGGAGAGAGAGATGGCTCAGCAGTTAAGCGCACTGAGTGATTTTTCAGGAGGACCCTGGCTCAATTCCCAGCACCCACACGTCAGCTCACCACTGCCTGTAACTCCAAGATCTGACACCCTCCCACAGACATGCAGGCTAAACATCAATGCACATAAAAAAAAGAGAAATGAATACAAAAATCATGCCCCTCTTTGAAAGTTAAGGCTGGAGGCTTTTCTCCCGAGATTGGAGCAAGCTAAGGATGTCCGTCCCTACCACAGACAGCCAGCGCTGTGTTGCTCTAGCCAGCACAGCAATGCGATGAAGAGAAACAGAATGAACAGCTTGCCAAGGAAAAACAACAACAACAAAATCGCAAAAGCGACTAGTATATAAATGTATGATGCCTAAACAATTAAATATTCATTCCTACAAAATTACCTAAAATTATTTTTAAAGGCTCAAAACGAATCATAAATCTAAAGTGTAAATCTTGAAGCAATAACACTCCTAGACAATGGGAATAAAAGTCTGTGTTGCGTTGGGCTGAGATTTCTTACTTCAATACCAAAAGTTCAGTCTGCAGTGACAGAATTAATAAAATTCTTCTGATTGGATACCGTCAAGATTTTAAGACATTTCCCTGTAAAATACAGTATTGGAAGCCAACACAAAACACAACGTCTTTTCGCAAACACGAAAAGACATTCCACATCATGCATCCTTAGAGAAATGCAAGTGAGGCGCTCAACGAGAAACTATGCGTGTGTTTTAGGAAGACTAGAATTGAAAAGACAGAATCGTCGGCTAAGGCCGTGGAATTCTTGCACACACTCCTCGTGGGAACTCAAACGATGCACTCGCTTTAAAACAGTCTGGCAGTTTCTTCGAGAGTTGTGCATGCAGCTGCCATCTGATCGGGTTATCCCCCCTGCCAAGCATCTACCCAAAAGAAGAGAAAAGGACATAACAATTGAAATGCCCATGGCAGCTCAATTCATAGTATCCAAAAACTAGAAGCAACCTAACTGACCGTGAATTATGTGTGTAAATTATAAGCAAACTGAGGTGAATCCCTGTCAGTCAGCAGTAGCAGTCAGCCATAGATTGGCACGAGCTACTAATGCACGCTACGGCTAACATGAACCTAGAAATAACTCTCTGAACGTAACACATAGCCAAACATGAGTACACACTATTCGATGCTATTTCTCCTAGCTCACAGGAAGCATAAACTAGTCTCTGGTGATAGAAGCAGATCACCAGCTGCTTAGGGGTGGACCACAGAAAGAGAAGGTAAGACGTCACTGGTGTGGTACCTGGAGGCGTTCAGGGCGATAATGATGCCCGTTCTCTTGACGGAGTGATGCTTTCAGGGCTGCAGACAGACATACGTCAGTGCTTATCAAACTGCACCTGAAAAGTGTGATTTGCCACAGGTCAAGAATGTTTCACTAAAGCTGTCACCAACGGTGCATGTCATCTTGCTAAAATGATGTCCTCGAACAGCTGGACACCTCAGTGGCATACAGCAATAAGCTTTAGGTTATCCTGTATGCAGGTGAGTAGGCTAGGCAGCTCTGTTAATGTTGGCTGGCTTTGTTTCCCTACCTAGAGGCCAGATAGCTGATGGCTTAGCTAGACTGGCCTTGGCTGAGACAACTGGGCAATTTGGGTGGCGGCAGAGACACAAAAGAAGGGTCAGTCCTCACGACCACTGTATGTATCTACTTGCATTTTGCCTACAAAATCCCATTACTCAGAAAAGGTCGGGTTGTGACTTTGCCACCGACAAGGGATGGCTAAGTCACATAATGAGGGGTGTGGCCTCAAGAGGTGTGTAGGGCCAGGGCATAACTGCAACTACCATAGGAACTGCTCCTGGGCTCACGGCAAAACAGATACCTCAAATGGTGTCTTTCACCTCTGGATCATATTTAAAGAATTTAAAGTAAGTGGTCTGGTAATGTAGATAAGTGGCCAAGAGTTTGCCTAACATATACAAGGCCCTAGATTTGCTCCCCAGCACAGAGAAAGAAAAAAAAGGGGGGGGGGACAAAAATCTAGGACAAAAATGAGTGAATTCTACTGCTTTTAGGAAATTCTCCCCAAACAGACTAATTAGAACTAAATGATAAATGCCAAGGTTTCCTTGAAACCTCTTCCAACCGAGTGGCCAGAAGTTTCTACCATAAATCCAGACCTTTCCCCATGCTGCTTTGCCTTCCTTGCTCACCTGTGTCTGTTGTGCAAACCTCAGCACACAGGGAGCCTCCAGGGTGTCCTTGGAATCTTCTGCATCTTCCTCTAGGCTAATAAACCTTATCATCTCAGTGAGTGCATACCAACTGGGTCAACGTCTCTGCCCTGCACTTGAAAAGCACATAGCATGTGTCACAGTGGAGACAGGTATTCTGTTTTAACACTTGATGGAGTGTTGTGAGGACAAAGACAATGGCTAATGGAACTATGTAAGAACTAATCTATTATCTACCCTCCCAAGAGGAAAGAACTTGTTCATGCCCCACTCACTGATGTTGCTCATTATTTTATTTACTTACTTATTTGTATGAAGTGTTCTGCTTGCATGTACACCTGCACGCCAGAAGAGGGCACCACATCTCACTATAGATAGTTGTGAGCCACCTTGTGGCTGCTGGGAATTGAACTCGGGACCTCTGAGAGAGCAACCAGTGCTCTTAACCTCTGAGCCATCTCTCCAGCCCCACGCACTGATTTTTCTTTCTCGGGTCTTCCTTGAAGCCTTGTCAGTACACAAGCAGTCCAAAAACCCAGTCCTTCTCACTATGTCTTGTGTTTCACGCTCTGTCACTCTGTTAGGAGGTCAGGGGTGGGAGGGGGCTCAGTCTAACATGAGAGTAAATATCTCCTTAAACTTACAGTAAGCAGCCAGGAGTGCTGGTGCCTTCCTTTAATCCCAGCACTCAAGGGCGCCGAGGCAGAGAAATAGCTGTGAATTCGAGGCCCGCCTGGTCTACAAAGTGAGTCCAGGACAGCCAAGGCTACACAGAGAAACCCTGTCTCAGAAAACAAAAACAAAACAAAAAAATTACAGTGAGCATTCTTTTAAATTCTGAATAATTTCTTTTTTAATTTACTTTTATTTATATATTTATTTATTATAATTTATTCATTTTTGTATCCCCGCTGCAGCCCCCTCCCTTGTCTCCTCCCAGTCCCAGCCACCCACCCTCTTCTCTCCCTATGCCTCTTCCCTGGTTCACTGATAGGGGAGAACCTCCTCCCCTTCTATCTGACCCTAGCCTATCAGGTCTCATTAAGGCTGGCTGCATTGTGTTCCTCTGTGGCCTGGCAAGGCTGCATCCTCCAGAGGAAGGGGATCAAAGAGCTGGCCACTGAGTTCATGTCAGAGACAGCCCCTGTACCCCTCACTAGGGAACCCACTTAAAAACTAAGCAGTCTATGGGCTTCCTCTGAACAGGGGCTCTAGGTCCTCTCCATACATGATCCTTAGTTGGAGTATCGGTCTCTGCAGGGCCCCCTGAACCCAGGTTTTTTGGCTCTGTTGTTCTCCTTGTGGAGTTCTCCAGGTCTTTCTATCTCCACTTTCAGAAGGAATACCTCCTTAATTCTAGGCTGAGCAACTTCTGAATTTTAGGGATACTACATACCAGCTTGGATCTCAGTGATCCAAGCAAGAGCATTTAGATAACTTTCAACCCATAGCAAGGCACAAAGCACATGCCCTGGCCTGGCCCAGGATGGCAAGCATCTTGAAAGCCATTACAGAGACTAGCCAAAAACCTGAAGGGCCACTGGCCTTCAGGCAGTCTCTAGAGCACGTGGATGGAGGATGGCTTCTGTGCTCTAGGGTTGGGGAGTTCTCCGGGCTCTCCCTGGGGTTTTCGGAGATGACCTGGAAGTCTTCTTGCTCTCTTTACCTAACCACAGCTGTCAGTACTCATAGAAGGAAGACACCCTGGCTCTCAGACCTCAGGAAAAAACTCATGCCTCAGCCAAGAACCCTCACAAGACAGTGCCATGGAGTGATGTACCCAGACCCACTCTCTCCCTCTCCTTTTCCCCTGCAGTGTTGATTGGAGTGGGCACAGAGACCTTCCTGCGAGGGAAGTTCAAAAGCCTGGCCTTCTATCTGCTGTGAGTATGCATCATCTACCCATCAACCCTCCCAGTCACACATCCATGCATCCCTATAGTCACTTCCTTATTCAGCAAACACACACATATAATTAGGACATATTTAATATGCTATATATTAATATGTATACATATCCCCTAATTATGTATATAATTATAACACACACACATATATATATAATTTCCCCTTCATGATAAGTACAACTCACTGTAATTTAGCTTAGCATCATGAAAGATGTGCACACTGCACTAGCTGTAGAGATGATCAAGTTCAGGACTCCCCAGTTGACTCTACCTTTCCACCACATCTGTGCCTACCAATGTACCTTGGCAGAAGATAGATGGCCATACAGGGACGTCACAATCAGTGAGAAAGTTGGGGTCCCTGAGCCTATAACTCAGCATCTCTGCAGTCCTGCCCTGTGCTTCTAGCAGCTTCCTGCCAAGGCTAGAGGAAGCCTCTGTGTCCCCGCAATAGAATGTCTTGACTGCCTCATTTTGACCTTTTGACCTTTCCAAACCTCACTAACTTATCCCTCCCTTTGGTGGCTGACCTTTGCCCTGGGTGTCATTCTACCCCTACCTCAATGCAGGCCCTCTTGTTGCCCCTGGAATCTCACATCTGTCACCTCCTCGCTGTGATCCACCTTCAGAGCTCATGTCTATACTGCTAACTTACCTCTTGACCCTTGGCTGCATCTGGGGACTTCTGGCTCTCTCTATGGCCTTCGTGCTGTGTCTACCCATGGAGCACACACCACATCTCCTTGCCCCTGAGGCACTGTCTTTCTGGGTCCCTACAGCCAGGTTGAGCCTGCCTCCCCTCCATCACTGCTAACTCACTAGTGTACTTCAAGTCGGGCAATATGGCCACCCTCTGCCCTCAATGCACCTCTTCCTTGGCACTCTGCCCTATCTTGGGGGGACTCAATGGTGGTCATTCTTGATTACATTCCAGCCTCAAGTCTTCCTGCCCCTCACACTCACTCAGTTACTCCTCTACTCACGCCTTGTTCTCCGACACTCATAGCTCAGCACCAGTCTCGATCCCCTGGCTCACTAGCACCTTACAGGAACTCTGAATGAGTCACTTACTCACCAAGCCTCAATTCCCCTCTGCCCCGGCATGTAGGAAATGGCTCTGCTGAGAGTTTCTACAAAGCGTATACCTTTCAGTACTTCTTAGTCACATGATCTCCAGAATTTGGGGTGGCTCCCATCTTGTACCTGCCATTTGTGAGCTGTACCTCTCTGGCCAAGGCTCTTACCCTCAGCTTCCTCGTTCATAACTGACATTAATATACCTGCTGGTCATAAAAAAAAAAAAATGTTGCAATAGCCAAAGGAGTTGGTTTCTTTAAGGCTTCTAGAACTGTGATTGGCACATTTCAATCATTATGTTCATTTTAAAACTAAAAGATAAGAATTATGCAGTTTCTGGGAGCATGGGAGAACAGGCAAAAGTAGAGATTAAATACTATAATCACAGAGAGAGGAAAAACAGCATCTGTGTAAGGGCAGTTCCATTCTAGGTACAGTTCTAAGGGACTTATAGACATCTACTCATCTAGTTTGTGATAATTTCATTGGTGAAGCCTTATAGTTAGTCCTGGTTTACAGATGAGAAACTGAGTCACAAGAAGTCCAGTTTCTACCTGCATGCACATCAGTAGGTAACAGAAGCAGGACCAGTGACCCTTAGCAGAGCATGGGTCCTGAGTGCCCTGTTGCATCCATCTACTCTCACTAGCTTTCACTCTGATGGGTAGTCAAAGGGCACTCTCCCATAAATGAGTCCTCTCCAGGGTGGGCCCAGGCCTCATATGGCAATTATACAGAGAAATCCTTAGGAAGCTCCTAGACTAGTGACTTTGCCATTGTAATAACAAGACTTCACCAAACAGATGACAGAGGGAAAGAGAGGCCTTCCAAGAAGGTCTAGCTTGTGCAAAGGACCTGTGGAGCCTGCCAACTTCCTGTATACTCAGGACAATGTGGGTATTTATAAAGAAATTTAAGGCCACTCCAATACAGACCTTCGTGCCATTCAGGCAGCACTAGAGGGATGTTTGATGGAGACACAAATATATGAGGGCAGGGAGCCTTGCCAGGGTGTCAGTGGAGATTTCTGGGAATCAAAGGAGCTGCAGGTAGACAGCCATGATAAATTCATGGGGGACCAACAGGGCTGGCCTCCCAGCCTTTCTATTTATCCACAGGTTTACAGGAGTCACCATCTCCATGTGTGAAGGGGCCTTCTTTGTGGCTCAACTGCTGGCCATCTGCTTCAGGTGAGTAGCCTCCAGAAGTTAGCTTTACATCCCTTACCATCCCAGCTCCTGAGAAATATCTCACCTGTGGAGCCATGGCTGGGTTGTCCTGCTTCTGGGGCCACTGTGGACTGGTTCTCCTTCCAGAAGCAACTCCGCACAGCTCAGTCACCTGCTCTCTGCTGTTCTTGGCTAGATAGTCAGAGCCTGCCTCTACCTACACTCCCTCCCAAAGTCAGCTTTCCCTACCCCAGGGCACTCAGTCTCTGGGCACGTGTCCAGACTGTCTGCGATCGGTTGAGGACCCTGCAGGAGGCTCAGCACTCGGGAAACTGAGCTGTGTGTGGGAACCAGCTCTGCCTCTTCCAACATTCCGGCCATAAAGGCCCTGCTGTTGTCCAGCCAATACTCAGTGTGTGAAAACGGTCATCCGTGAGGTAAGGGCTCAGACTCTGGACTCTGGCTAACAGAGCCTAGATAGTTGGTCCCCAAACAGTCAGCGAGAGCCAGATCTCAGCACCTAGCAGGGGTTAATAGCTGATTCCTAGGCTTAGCCTTTGGGTGGCAGCTTGCTCCCCTTTCTACTGAATTCTACCTCAAAGGATTCTTGACATTTCAAGGATGTGCAGAAATGTTCCATCTCCCAACACACAAGGACACATCTGCTCCTGTGTGTACATGTACACATATACCCCAGACTGACACCAGAGGGCACCAATGAGCTGTACGTAGTTCTGTTGGACAGCCATGCTCTCAGAGCATGAAGGGTCCAAGGACAGGCATTGTCTTACTTAGAGACCTGGGGGAGTGTACCTGAAGAAATCTGTTCAGTATCATGGGGATACACGGTAGTCCCTATGTGTCAGAAAAAAAAAGAGAGAGAGAGAAGGTTTTCTAGGCCAATTCTGTCCTGTGCCTGGCAAGGTACAGCAAGTACAGTACAATTGAACTCCAGCCTGCTTGTTCTTTGTGTGATGTTCAGTCCCCACAATGCAGAGAGTACAGTCCTCTATACTGCATACCATTACTGGTCCATGGAAGACTTCCCCCAAAGCCCCAAGACTTCCATCAACTTCCTTTTCCTGTTGGCCAAAACCATGGCTAAAGAACATGGGTCAGGGAAGCATTTTGGAAAGCCTGTGGACCCCTTGGAGTGTCTCAAGCAAGCCTCCTAACCATAGAACCCACGGTGGGGACCCTGAGATTTCGTGACTCCAGCCTTTAAAGATATTCAGTCAGGGGCCACTACAGAGATCACAAATACCGTAGGGCTCAGCCCCAGGTTCCCACAGCCTTCTAAGAAGCTGGGACCTGCATGGGATGATTTCTACGAGCCTGCTAACCCTGAAGCCCCCTCCCCCAGGTGTCAGCCGGGGTCTCTGGCACACAGAGCAAGGGAGAAGGCCCGCTGGCTGGGTTGCTTCCAGAAGTTCCTTGCCTACATGCTGCTGTCTGTGGCCTGCTTCCTCCACCCTGTCCTCGTCTGGCATGTGACCATTCCAGGTAGGAGCACTGAGGGGAATGGGGGGATGGGCCTAGCACAGATGTGATCTAAGCAGTAGGACCAGGTGCTGTCTCCCCAAGCTCCCACCAGCCTGTATGCCCTCTCTAACTCAGTATGTGAGCATAGCTACGAGATGTCCACTATGCTGACCAAGCAGCAGGAACACCCTCAGGCAAAGTCCTCATGGACATAGCCATCCAGAGGTTGGACCCTTAATGGGACCCCGGGTTGTCTTCTCACCGACCACTTTCAAAGAATGAGAGAGGGTCCTCGACCCAGACCCTTCTGCATCTCGTCAATGCCTACCCATTCTGTTCTAACCTCCAGGCACCTTTATAGGACCTCCAAAGAGCATGACAGCCTTATCTCCTCTTCCTCCTCCTTGTACCTTGCAGGGTGGCTCAGTTTCTAACCTCTGACCTGACGTCTTCACCTCTGCACATCTGTCTCTTCCCTTCTTTTCTACCACCTTCCTCTTCATCCCCCTTTATTTATACACACATCGTGCCTCTCCCAGAGACCATCTCCAATACCAAAACATTTTCTACCAACGAAGACTAAACTGTCTTCTTCTTTAGCATATGTGCCATGGCCCCTGAAGAAAGTCATAGAAGGATCCACCCTGACATTGAGTGGGCCACAAGCCCTGACCATTGAAGACACAGACTGAAGAGACCCTGAAACTGGTGGGCATTGGTAGTCAGGTTCCTGGATTCCCATAGATGAGCTGTGTTCCTTGCAGGAGACCATAGCTGAGAGTCCACAGGCTAGCCCAATGAGCCATGGGCACTGACCATGAGAGATTCACATCTCCCCAAGTTTTCTCGGTGGGGCCTAGGAGAATCTCCACATTTCTGGGAGTGGGAAGATATCCAACAAATTGTCTACAACAGAATCAATACTAGTAAATCCATTATATGCCTGGCCTCTACCCCCAGAGAGAAGCTGGTGGTGGTGATGAAAGTCAGGCAATCAGGACCAAGACCAGCTCTCCACATGAAGGGGACTCGGGCATAGAGATCAGAAGGATACCTCAAGAAGCAGGCAGAGCCCTTCTTTGGTACCCTGGCCACTGGAGCTATTTTAATCTTTTAGCCTTGGCACGTCATCCTCTGAGTCTGATGTGGGTGTGTGAAGGCTGGACCTATCAGGGTGCCGACCGACCATACCTGTACAACGTGGTAAGGCAGTGGCGCTGTGGAGAGAAAGGCTTGCTCAGCCTCTGGTTTTCCTCTGTGCAGTATCTTGACCTCCCAGATCTCTTCCAGGTTCCATGCTAATCGTCACTGCCCTGGCCTACTTCCTGCTGAGCAAGCGGAAGAAAAGAAAGGCTGTTCCAGAGGTGCTGGCGCCCACGGAGCAGTACACAGACCCTTCCAGCAGCGTTGTGAGCACCACAGGCTCTGGGGACACTGAGCAAACCTATACTTTCCATGAGGCCCTCAAGGAGGGGCCTGGCTCGTTCTTCGTCCACATGAAGAGCATCCTGAAGGGGACCAAGAAGCCCCGTGTCCTACAGCCCCGAGATACCCTAATGGAACTGGCACTAGAGCCAGCCGACTCCTTGGCCAAGAAGAAGCAGGTACACTTTGAAGACAACGTAGTCAGGATCATCCCATCCCTCACCGAAGGTCAGGGTGACAGTGACAGTGGGCCAGAGGAAACGAGCTCTGACACGACCCCCATTATCCCTCCCTCCCGGACGCCACTCTTCCTGCCTTCTCTCATGGCCACTGACCTGTTCTGAGCTTCTCATCTGGAGATCTACAGCTGGAGAGACCTTCCAGAAAACTTCTAATAGCCATGGCCCCTGCAGGGAACTCAGGGTCTCCATGGGTCAGCTACTCATATCCCAGTGGTGGCTGGCTATTCGGAACAATGAGATGGTGTACCAAGCCAGATCTGTGGAGACCTCCAGGGGGGCACAAAGGAAGCCCTGCCATACAGAATCAGCACAGGCTCCTTCTCCTTGGCCGGGGGTGGGAAAAAGAGAGCACAGCTCCACAAGGCTTCTAACCCAACTTGCTAAGCCTTAAAGGGACAGAAGACATCAGTTCCACCTCCCTTGCACCCAGGCTCCCTTGCAGCCTTCAGCAAGGACCCTGTGGTGCATTTTCCTTGTGCTGCAGCCTACTGGCGCCGAAGGACCAGGGGTGCATCGGCAGCACAAGCAAGATAGTTCAGGGTAAACATGGGAAAGAAAGCTTCAGATCTCAAGCGAGGACAGCCTGGAAGTGGGCCGCATTCTCAGCATACTCTAAGACTGGGCTAGGCAGCAGGCATTTCAGAATCGCCCAGGGAAACAATGCCACTCTGTGTTCACTGCCGGGAAAGCCAACCAGAAGAGCGTCTCTCATTCCAGAAGGATAGCCAAGGGCTTCCTGCCCTTCCCACCCCAGCCCCACTGTATGGGCAGGGTTCAGATCCCAAGTAGATGGTGCTAGCTAAAAGAGTCTGAGAGCCTATGACCATCTGCAGCAGGAATGGCCAGGGTGCAGCATGGAATAATCACTATAGGTCAAGACCCAGGAGGCAGGAGACTGCCTCCAGAGAGCCACACGACACAGGGAAGTAGCTTTACCATGCTTAGGTACCTGAGAGTAAGATGGGTGATAAATGAATGTTTGCTCAAAATAGGAAGGAAGGAAGAAAGAAGAGGAGAGGACACAAGGGAGAGGGCAGTGATCAGGAAGGCATGGTTTCCATCCTGCGGCTGCAGAGGTGACAGTGAATCTGAGATAGAGACTTCTTAGTAAAAAAAAAATTTATAAAATACCTTTTAGTTCTAAATACAATGTTTGGGCCATGGAATTATTGCCAGGAAGAAGAGACACACATTCCTTATAGCTGACATCATGTGTGACCAACAGGAGGGAAGACTCTTATAGTTTGTGTCTGGGGAGGAGAATCACTTCAGGGTTCTCTGATGAGTGAACCTCAAAGCACACACTTCACAGTCTAGATAAATAACATATTCATTCAGCAGCTATGAGTTGTTGTTGTTTTTTTAATGGGGAAACCTAGAAGTTGGAGTCAGCCTAGTGCTTAGCACAGCCAGTGTTCTAGACGTGCAGAACCCTTCTTTCAATACAGGATGTGTTTGCTAAGACTGTGAGGAGTGAAGGCAGAAACCAAGCCAAGAGGGCTGGAGTAGGTAGGCAAGGTCTACTCAACTCATTTCTCAAAAGATAGACGTCTAATGGGTTATTGTAAGCCCTTGGCCACGGGGGCACTTAAGCTGTTTCTTTGACAGGGATGTCAGATAGTGCAGTCAGGGGAAAAGTAAATTTATGGAATATAGGTGTGGGTGGGTGTGTCCCTATTACTACAGGAAACACCACCATGACACCCTGAATTTGTCTGAGGCAAGACCAGAGCAAACCCAACGGGTGATTCTTAACTCCGGGTTACAGGGCTGGAGCTTGGGGAAATAGAGCTTCCACCCGGACCGAACACAGGGGCCAGAGGGAACAAACCACAACCAGGAGGAGAGTCTTGGTGTCCTCCCCACCCCCCCGTATCAATAAAATACCATGACCAAAAGCAAACTTAAGGAAGAAACAACGCATGTCGCTTACAGTTCCAGAGAGCTAGAGTCACCATAACAGGAAAGGCCTGGCCAGCAGCAGGAACCAGAAGCCAGCCGGCCACATTTCATCCACACACAGGAAATGGCAAGGGGCAGGAGTCACAAGAGGTGACACGAGGTCATGAACCCTCAAAGGCCACCCCCAGTGAGGCACTTCCTCCATCAAGGCTGCATCTCCTAAAGGTTCCACAACTTTCCCAAACAGCGCCACCAACTGGAGACCAAGTGTTCAAATACATAAACCTGTGGGTGACCTTTCTCGCCGAAATCATCCCGTATATTTTTTAGAAATCTTTGGTTCTTGCTTGGTTGGTCGGTTAACTTGTTTTACCTCTTTTAAAACATCTTTATTAATATATAATTCGTTGTCATAAAGTTGACTAACTTAAGGTATACAGTTAAATGGGTTTTAGTATTCTCCACCATCTTACGATCATAATACACTCATCAACTCTGCCTCCCCAAAGAAATCCAGCCTGGTAAACATTAAGACTCAACCCTCACCTCCCAGTCTCTGGCCTATGAAACCACTAATCTGCCTTGTATCTTTGTAACTTTCACTATTCTGAGCACTTCTTAATTTGAATCACAGCCTACACTACAGCACACACCATCCTTTTCTCTTCATCAGCTTTCTCTCTCTGCACCATACGTCCTTTTTTAGTCTTTAAATATGATTTATTTTAGTTTCTTGGACAAATTTACAATGGAAGTTTTGGAGTCTTGGTTAACTACATCCAGCATCTGGGGCTTCTTAAAAGCCACGTCTCTTGCTTGCCTCTCTTGATCATGTACCACGTTTTCTTGTTTCCTTGCGTATCTGAAAATTCTTTTTGAGTACCTGGACATCTTGGCAACTGCAGGTTGCAACTCTGAATGCTCGTTCCGCCTTCCTCCCACCTAGTATCTGGTGTCTTTATTCGTTTGTTTACTGACTTGCCTGGACTAGTTCTGCGAATTCAAACCATTTTTTACACAGTGCTCATCCTTTGATGTCCCTATTTGGATTTTTGCCTTTGATCTTTTAGCATGGTTACCTAGAGTTTCTCCTGGGTCTGCAAAAGCCATTTATTGGCCAGTAGTTATGATTAATCCCTTGGACCAATTAGATACCCTTTGCCACTGAAATAGAGAAGGAAGCAGGGCTTGGAGTCATCTGTTATAAATCAAGTTTGTTTGCCCCTGCCTTCAGTCAGGGACAAATAGCTCCATAGCCTCTCTTTGACTTCCGAGAGAACATGACCTTCTGTGCTGGAGATTCAAGCAGTGCTCGGTTTAGGTTTAAGTTTCGTAGTTTTAGGAGTTGTTCCTAATTTGTATTTGGCCAGAGACTGTACTTAACCTTTTTAGAGCCCATGGACCATGGACCCTTTGTTAAGGAATCTACATGCAGATGCAATAATTTTGAGCCTACACCCTGGCCCTGGCTGCTCCAGAACAGGTTCAGATAGGCTGATCCCAAGAGGGTTCTTCTTGACCGTCTGTGTCTTCAGTTCTCTATTAAGCAAGGGTTAAGGTTCAACATTTTTGTTTATTGCTGCTAGCGCCATGGCATTCTGAACACCCTTTTTTTTTATTCACCCCAAGATGTGTTTACAATGTTTCTGAGAACTCGGCGTGGAATGAAATTCTTCACATCCTGTCCTGAATGGGGTCAGATCTCTGAGCTTTTCATTCTTTCTTCCTGGGCAACTCCTCAGCAGCAATGCATAGGCATGATGGATGATGGCCTGTTTCCCTAGGAGATAGACACCTTTCCTAGATGGGTAAGCATAGGAGGGAGCAGGCTCTGACAGCCTTCTGGGTTTGTTCTTCCCAATGGGGAGCCTCTAAGTAGGAGTCAGATGAGGCGAAGCAATCAAGGCCGAGTTTGCAATACGGTTTTCTGTGACATGGGCTCAGGAGGTATGAGAGGCAGATTCCTACATTAAAACATGGGCCGTACCAAACGCATCTTATTTTCCCTTATTCTCAACTATATCTCAACTTATATAACTTTATGACACAAGTTGAGTGCGCCCAAAAGTATTCTGGTTCCTGTCATTTAAATAGGTGCTACACTTCAGGTGGGGAGCTCAGCTTTTTAGTCAGTGGCCTGAAAGCGTCCTCCCTCAGCAGCTTCCTTTCAGGTAAAGCCGCAGAGCCTTGACTCCACAGCGATAAGCAATTTCAGGACATGGGAGTGGAGCAAAGCTACCAAGTTTGTTAAGTAAAGACAAGGATGGAACACACTTCATTTACATGTAAGTGCTGGCAGAGAGAGAGAGGGTGGGAGAGAGTGTTGGGAGGAAAGACATTACTGATACACGGTGGTGGTGTGTCCTTCTCAAAAGGAGACTCCCACTCCCCACTTGAATGTCTTCACAACAGCTGGATGTAGGACTCAGTGCTCTCTAAGACACGTTGCTCAAAGGGTGTCATTTACAGCAACTTTTACCAAGTAAGCAAAGTTTAAAAATTAAGCGGTTCAGGGCTTGGGGGATGGCTCAGTGGTTAAGAGCACTGAGTGCTATTCCAAAGGACCCAGGTTCAATTCCCACCACCCAGACGGCAGGTCATGACACCTTCACATAGACAAAATACCAACGCACATAAAGTGAAAATAACAAGCAGTTCAAAATTTAAACAAAAGTATAGGAGCTGATTTACTTTTTTATCTTATGTTTAAATTTTTTTCATTTATAGATAAAATTACAAAGTGAACTTATGGTTTTATCACTCGTGTTTGTGGATGAGAAAAGTGTGCTAATAAGGCTTAACTTAAGGTTACAAATGCCTTGACCCTAAATAAGCATGCCTTATCTGTTGCTGTATAACATTCTTGCCTGAGATACCTTCAGGAAAAATAGCATTTCCATAAGCTGTTTTAGTTTTATCAGTTGTGTTGGAGTTTCTTTAGACACCAACTAGGTCTCCAGGTTACAGCCATTTTTCCCTTCCAATGTCCCCATAGTTTTTCCCTGTCTTTCTGTTCTTACCATGACCTTGTCCTAAACATGCCCTAAAAATGGATCCACTATTTTTCCTTCTTAAGTCATGACCTTCAAGCGATCATGCTCAGGAATAAGTCTACCGCTGTGTAAATGGATATAGGTGTCCTAAGTGAGGTCCTGTGCTTTCTTGGTTGGAGACGAGCGTTGATTTTGAATTACTCTCCT